AAAGGAGCAGTATAGCTGTAGGTCATCTGCATAGAAATGGTAGGAGACGTCTGGGAAATTGTTGATGATCTCAGTCAGGGGGCGTATGTAGAGCAGGAATAGAATCTGGCCTAGGATGGAACCTTGTGGAACCCCGCAGGAGAGTTTGGCTGAGTCTGAGAGAGATTGACCTAATAAGACCGAGAAAGAGCGGTCTGAGAGGTATGATTTCAACCAGTCTAGCACCACCCGGATATCCCTATGTCTTTCAGATCACGAAGGAGAATAGTGTGATTGACCGTGTCAAAGGCTGAGGAAAGGTCCAGTAAGAGGAGGACAGAGTACATGCCTCTATCAGCAGACATTAGCAGATCATTTGAGACACATAGGAGGGCAGTCTCTGTAGAGTGAGATATGTGGAAGCCAGATTGAAAGTGGTCAAAAAAGATTATTTACCWCCAAGTAAGATGTTAGCTGTACTGAAACAATTTTCTTCAACACCTTAGACAAAAATGGTAGCTTTGAAATGGGCCGGTAGTTCTTCAGATCAGATGGGTTTAAAGATTGCTTTTTTAGTATAGGTTCCACAACTGTTTTTTTTTTAAAGGATTGTGGGACACGTCCTGATGTAAGAGAGAGGTTTAGCAAGTCCGCAAGTGTGGGTCCTACTACGTCAAAAACAGCTTTTGAGAATCTGGGAGGTAAGATGTCAAGAGGGGAGATTTCATTTCTTGGATTATGGTCCCAAGATTATTCACAGTTACCAGATCAAAAGAAGACCAGGAAGGACTGAGACTGTTCTCAGGGGGGGTGGTTATGTGAAATAGAGGATGGGACGGTTGAGTTGAGATGCTGCGCCAGATGTTCTCAATTTTGACAACAAAGTGTGTTAGAAAGTTGCTGGGACTGGCAGGTGAACAGGTGGTGTTGGAGCATGAATGCTTAAAAATGTCAGCTTAGATTAGTTTGAAATTATACTACAGCTAGAGTAGACAAAGGCTAAATTTTGGAGGCATTTAATTTACTCTACACTGTTCATTTATTGACATTTTGTTATTTTTGTATTAATTTATCTCAGCATATAAACAGGCTTTCAGTATTATCAAACATACATATCTGCAGGACGTATGCATACACAGA